ACAGTACACTGTGCTGGGAAAGTCCACTTGAGGATAGATCTTGTTCTGAATATTTTGAACCAGGTTAGAAATAGACAGTAGTGGCTGGGCATGGTGGTTCAAGCCTGTGATCTTAGCACTTTGGGAGGCCGAGGAGGGCAGATCACGGAGGTGAGGAGTTCAAGAGCAGCCTGGCCAACATAGTGAAACCCTGTCTCTACTAAAAATACAAAATATTAGCTAGGTATGGTGGTGGGTGTCTGTAATCCCAGCTACTTGGGAGGCTGAGGCAGGAGAATCACATGAACCCGGGAGGCGGAGGTTGCAGTGAGCGGAGACTGTGCCACTGTACTCCAGCCTGAGTGACAGTATCTCTATCTCAAAGAAAAAAAAAAAAGAAATACACAGTACTTTATTAAACCAGCTTCAAGATATGATGGTAATTAACCAATTACTCACTCTAGAAATATTTACTGAGTGTCAATTCATTAATAGGAGCTGTTCCTCATGCTGGGATATAGCAATAAACAAGACAGAGGAATATTTTGCCCTATAGATGTTGCATTCTGGTGAGGAGAAGCAGGCAACAGATTTAATAAACAGGAGTTAGAGGATGACAACAGATGAGGGGGATAACACAGTAGAATCGGAGTAGAGTAATAAGGATAAAGATTGTTGGAGGGAAAGGGGCATGGAATTTAAAAGGAGTGGTTAGCATGTACCTTTGTCAGAAAATGACATTTGAAAGGAACTTAAAGAAGATGAATGAATGATCCATGCTAACATCTGGAGAATAGTGTTCCAGGCAGAGGGAACAGACAGTCAAAAATCTTTGATGCTGGGACAGAGACGGCACATTTGAGAAAAAGTGAGAAAGCCATCAAGACTGGGGCAGAAGGAAGGAGGAGGTCAGTGAGGTGACTGTTAGGAGATAAGGTTCTTTAGGTAAGGGAGAGACAGATTATGGGTTTTAACTTCAAATAAATTGGGAGCCTTTACAGGGTTTTAAAAACAGAAGCAAGTTATTTATGTGTTTAATGGCCTACTCTGGCTGTTGTATTGAAAATATACCACAGGGAACAAGGGTGCAGATGAGTTAGAAGGTGGTGGCACTATTTTTGACAGTAGATCATAGTGGTTTGAACAAGAGTGGTAGCAGTGGAAGTGGGGAGAAGTGGTCAGATTCAGGATACATTTTGAAGGCAGGAAAATCACAACTTTCTGAAAGATGGAAAAGTAGATAAGAAAGAAACAGGGTAGATTGATTCCAAATTTTTGACTTCAGATACTGGAAGAGTGGAATCTTATTAACCAATATGGGGAATGAACAAATCAATTTTTGGAACTGAAGATTAGGAATTCAACTTTAAACATAGTTGTTTTTAAATATCTATTACTATTCTCTTATTACAGCATATTAGCACCTGAGCAAACTTAGTAATCTTCCAGTAGCAGATTTTTAAAATCTGAAATCATAACCAGCAAATTAATAGGTTTTTGGAAATTTGTGAACCCATTAAAATTTTGCATGTTTTTACATATGTACATATTCATATTTGAGAATTATCATTGCTGAGTTTATCAAGTTCTCAAAGAGGTTCATGAGTCCAAAAATTTAAGAACATTAATTATTTGCAGATAAAGAAATTAAGAAATGCAGTGTTTAGAAAATATGCACAACTTCATAGGACTGTATTTTAAGGACACAAGAACATGTATGCAAATCTTGAGATGAAAAGAAGGGTGCAGTCGTCTTCAGCAAATTTAATTTCTCACTTCAACCAAGACAGTGGTAATATCCTGTATATCCCAAGATATGTGTGTATATAAGGACTGTTAATCTGCTCTGCCACACTGTATTGCAATAAGTGAGGCTATCTATTGTCTCATGAAAGTTTTTCTTTTTTTTTCTTTTTTTTTTGTTTTGAGACAGAGCATCTCTCTGTCACCCATGCTGGAGTGCAATGGTACAATCTCAGCTCACTGCAACCTCTGCCTCTTGGGTTCAAGCGATTCTCCTGCCTCAGCCTCCTGAGTAGCTGGGATTACACCCGTGTACCACCATGCCTGGCTAATTTTTAGTAGATACGTGATTTTTCTGTGTTGGTCAGGCTGCTCCTGAACTCCTGGCCTCAACAGATATGCCTGCCTCAGCCTCCCAAAGTGCTGGGATTTACAGGTGTGAGCCACCGCGCCTGGCCCATGATAATTTCTATAAGAGATTTTACCAAATTGGAATCATAGAAGTTTGGCGCTGGGAATAGGATCAACCAAAATTTTCAGATGGGTGAATTGTGTTCCTGGGATGCAGAATTACTTTCCTAAGTTATACAGGTGATTAGTGTCAGGGATATGTACCAAATATTGGAACCCGCAGTCCTAAACCCTGTAACTCCTTTGTCTAATTACATGGGAGTAGTTGACAAAAATGTTAAATTCTAGGATTTTAGCAAGATTCTGAATGATACCACCATTCTGGCTGAAATTGCTTATTTGTAGAAACTTGGCCTTATTTATTTATGTTTTACAAGCTCAGAGTTTATAATTAAGTCAGATAATTACCCTCCCACTCAGAATAATGGTAGTTAAAAATTTGTAGATTGATTTTCTGTCCAGAAAATGGGCTGTTTTCTTAACATTGATGTTTTCTTACCTTTTTCTAGGTAAAAACCTGTAGGTTAGGAATTGTTACAATACTTCTCCAAGATTACAGAACCACCAAGTAAGAAGATCTGGTTTTGAACTCAGACACCATATCCCTTGGGCAATTCTACCTATGCCAGGCCTGTCTTTTCTCACCTGGGCTTGCTCATGTCTGTGGGTAGCTCTTAGCATCACTGTAGACTGGATCATATAGAAGGGCCCCACTTGCATGTTTGGGGGACAGCTTGCAGTTAGCTGGGGTGACAGAGTGAGCACAGCCAGATGTCTTATCCAGCAAACTAACCCAGGCTTATTTACATGGTGGTGGTAGGTAGGATTCTAAAAGTGAGAAGAGAAACATAAAAAGCCTCTTGAAATCCAGGCTTTGAATCCACATGGAGCTGTCTATCTTTCAATCTATTGGCCAAAGCAAACCACCAAGCCATCCAAGACTCAAGGGGTTAAGTATAAGAATTAGAATAGTAACTGGTACATGGTCAAAATGTATTTGTATTTGTAATATAAATAGCAGCTTTAATAATCTAATACTTAATGTAAATACTTGACACATAAGAAGTTTTCAATAACTTATGGAAAGATAGTGAAATTTTTTGAGTGCCCACTAATGGACCCATTATTGGGCTATGTTATTTTTATGTATGTTTTCTTTATTCAATCAGACAGTCTGTCAAGAAGTTATTAGTCAGCCAGGTACGATGGCTCATGCCTGTAATCCCAGCACTTTGGGAGGCTGAGGTAGGTGGATCACCTGAGGTCAGCAATTTGAGACCAGCCTGGCCAACATGGTGAAACGCTGTCTCTACTGAAAATAAAAAAATTAGTCGGGTATGGTGGTGGGCGCCCGTAATCCCAACTACTCAGGAGGCTGAGGCAGGAGAATTGCTTAAACCCAGGAGGCAGAGGTTGTAGTGAATGGAGATCATGCCACTGCACTCTAGCCTGGGTGACAGAGTGAGATTCTGTCTCAAAAAAGAAGAAGAAGAAGAAGAAGTAATTAGTTATCTTTGTGAGTTTCATTTTTTCATGTTTTGTGAGTATATGGGACTTGCCCTGCATAAAATAGTTAATAAGCAAAATTCCTAATTTTCAAATTATTTTTGACTCCAATTCCAGTAATTTTTCCAAATCATGGACTGAAGTCCTATAATTCTAGATAGTAAGGGAGAAAAATGTACAAGCTTCTTAGTAATTGTTGCTTTGTAAATTAGTAATAATTGATACCCTTGTTAACTTGTGTCAATATAAAAATCACTAAGTGATGCTTTTCCCTTCTCATGATAGTCAGGCTTTCACCTCTGTGGACATGGACGTGGGAAATCGCACCATCCTGACTGAATTCATCTTGTTGGGTTTCTCAGCAGACCCCCAGTGGCAGCCGATTCTATTTGGAATGTTTCTGATGCTCTATTTGATAACCTTATCGGGAAACATGACCTTGGTTGTCTTAATCCGAATTGATTCCCACTTGCATACGCCTATGTACTTTTTCATTGGCAATCTGTCTTTTTTGGATTTCTGGTATACCTCTGTGTATACCCCCAAAATCCTGGCCAGTTGTGTCTCAGAAGATAAGCGCATTTCCTTGGCTGGATGTGGGGCTCAGCTGTTTTTTTCCTGTGTTGTAGCCTACACTGAATGCTATCTCCTGGCAGCCATGGCTTATGACCGCCATGCAGCAATTTGTAACCCATTGCTTTACTCAGGTACCATGTCCACTGCCCTCTGTACTGGGCTTGTTGCTGGCTCCTACATAGGAGGATTTTTGAATGCCATAGCCCATACTGCCAATACATTCCGCTTGCGTTTTTGTGGTAAAAATATCATTGACCACTTTTTCTGTGATGCACCACCATTGGTAAAAATGTCCTGTACAGACACCAGGGTCTATGAAAAAGTTCTCCTTGGTGTGGTGGGCTTCACAGTCCTCTCCAGCATTCTTGCTATCCTGATTTCCTATGTCAACATCCTCTCGGCTATCCTGAGAATCCACTCAGCTTCAGGAAGACGCAAGGCATTCTCCACCTGTGCTTCCCACCTCATCTCAGTCATGCTCTTCTATGGATCATTGTTGTTTATGTATTCAAGGCCTAGTTCCACCTACTCCCTAGAGAGGGACAAAGTAGCTGCTCTGTTCTACACTGTGATCAACCCACTGCTCAACCCTCTCATCTATAGCCTGAGGAACAAAGATATCAAAGAGGCCTTCAGGAAAGCAATACAGACTATACGACCACAAACGTGAAGGTTATTCTCTTTGCAAATGCTGTTATTGAATTTTCCAGATTATTGGCTTATAAATATGTTCGTTTGCATTTCTGTAGTTCATTTAAATTCAATAAGTCATATTTAAGACATTAAAAGATTGACCACATGAGTCTTTAATTGTTATTAGTTTGTTGTGATGTAAGCAAAACAAAGCAATATTTAAAACTTATAGTATTGGGTTGTTTGACATTCTGCAATACGGTATTTTGCCTCGGCAGTATTCAATCTTTCATAGATTTCATTGTGTTTGCTGCCTTTGGGAGATCTTGGGGAACAAAGGAAATTATGTGGTTTAATGAGTATAGTTTGACTTTGAAGCTTGGTAAGCAATCTTTACTAGGTGACAAGAATATCTTAAAGGGTGAGATTTCTGGAAATATGCTCAAGATTTTACAAATATTTATTTTAAGAAAATCATTTCCTCAAAATTTCTTCAGAAAGCTCTAATTGAGCATATAGGAAGTATCTTTGTAAACCTCATGCCTTCTACGTAAAGAGAATATTAGGAAGACGTTTAAGAGTTGTTCAGGTTACAAACAACAATGACAACAGCAAAACTATCTCTAAATTAATGAATATGTGTCTTTAGAATTGCATATCATCCTAAAAGAGTGTTCTCTCTTACAAGGAGTGAGTACTCCATAGTACTCTCTCTCAGATCACACAGCGATCTAACAACATCAAACAAAATGAAACAAATGAACAACAGTAACCACCGCTCCCTAGTTACCTTTCTTTTTCCTTTGTCCTGACCAAAAGACATAAGCTGCATGTTTGCCCCTGGCCTGAACCCAGCCTGGGCCTTGAACATTCCTAAGAACTGATAAACTTGTTGAGGTCGATGCCTGAAATCCTGAAAAATCAAACGTGTTGCTAACCACGTGGAAATGAGGCTTGGCCTTGAGCCCAGTTCCCTAAACCCTGATATAAACTCCGTAACCGAACCCCCTTGTGATGGCAGGTTGAGTTGATATTTCACTCAGTAGCCTTTAGAAGACGGCAAGTTAAGGATTATTGGTTACAGTTTTCAAATCAGAAGCTTGCGGCTCAGAGGTTAGCACTTTGTTAATGAAAGGTTATAGCACTTGCTGGAATGAGCACATTTACAAAATTAATTAAAATTTAAAAATTTGGGACATATAGTTGTAGCCATTTCATTCGTCTTTGCTGTGACATTTCTCATCTTTCTCTTCGGCTGCATTTATTTTCCAACACATCCTGCCTCTTTCCATCAAAATAATCATAACATTCTCATTCCTCTATCACAAAGGAAGCTGTTTGTGTACTTAACTATAAGGATTTTGGGTGTATCCCACAAATATCAATGATCCATATTATGATTTCTTTTCATCTCCATAATACTCACTATGTAGGAAAAATAATTGGGTCAGTATTAGGGGAAACAACAAAGTAAAATTTAGTTTTACTTTAGGATGTCAGAAGTATTACTCTTCCATTTTGTATTAATCGGAGATACTGAATTTTAAATACTGTATCAATATTCAATTGAACCTACCATTCTGTAGTATATATTATAGTCTGATATCAAAACCATAAAAAACACACAAGCAAACAAACAAAAATACAAAGAAACAAAATTTTTCCCGTTGAATTTTGTTCAATGGTAAAAAAGAAATAAAAATCTAGTTCTGTAACCTCTCTGAGCGGTTGGTTATCACTTAGCACTGATTTGGGAACTTTATGTCAATTCAGACTTTGGATTATGCTGACTTGAAGAATTTTTTCAGAGCTTCTTTCACGTCTTTATTCCTCAGACTGTAGATCATAGGGTTCAACATGGGGAACAGCACAGTATAAAAGGTAGAAACAATTTTGTCCCTCTCAAGGGAGTAGCTGGAACTTGGCCGAGAGTAGATGTAGAGAATGGAGCCATAGTATAAGGTAACAGAGATCAGGTGGGAGGAGCATGTGGAGAAGGCTTTGAGGCGGCCCTGGGTGGAGCGGATCCTCAGGATGGTGGCGATGATGGAGAGGTAAGAGGCCAGGATGAGCACAGTAGGGGAGATGACATTGGAGGCCAGCAGGAAGTGCAGTACAGCCTGGTAGCTCTCTCTCACCCTGCATGCCAGCTTCACCAGGGGTGGGACATCACAGAAAAAGTCATCAATGACATTGTCACCACAAAAATCCAGTGTGAATGTGTTGCTGGTTAATATTATCGCATTGACAAAACCTCCAGTATAGGAATATAAAACCAAACAGATGCACAATCTCCCTGGCATAGCCTGAGCATAAAGCAGGGGCTTGGAGATGGCCACATAGCGGTCATAAGCCATGGCAGCCAGCAGGTAGCACTCACTATAGGCCAGTCCGGCAGAGAAGAAGAACTGACACAGGCAGCCAGCAAAAGAGATGCTTTTGTCTTCAGAGATGCAGATCACTAGGATCTTTGGGGTGTAGACAGAGGAATACCAGATATCTAGAAATGACAGATTTCCAGTGAAAAAATACATGGGTGTGTGGAGGCGGGAGTCATTACAGATCAACATGATGAAGGTGCTATTACCTACCACAGTCAGAGGGTACACGCCCAGGAACACCACAAACAGGCCCAGCTGCATCCATGGATCTGTGGTGAAGCCCAGCAGGATGAACTCAGTCACTGTGTGATTGCTCCTCTGCGTGGCTTACGGATACCGCACCTACAAATAGAGTAGAAGAGAGTTTAATTGCCTCAACCAACACCAAATGACAGCATTTTCTATACTAAGCACCTGCAATAATATAATCAACACTAAGCAGGAATTTTGGCTGCCTTGGGCAGGTGATGGAAGTTTTCTGAGCTTCAATATAGTTATTGTAATAAAATGCATTTAATAACAGAAAAGCCTTCATGCTATTGAGAGGTTTATTAATTTTTTCTTGAAAAACAAAATATTTGTTGAGCCCTATCTGCTGTTCCAGACAGTGGGATATAGCAGCGAAGATCATAGGGCTGACTCCTATCCTACTGAGCTTTTATTCTAGAAGGGAGAGATACATAAAAAACAAATAAGTACAGTGTCAATTAATGTTAAATGCTAATAAGAAAATAAAACTAGATGATGGGATAAAAACCAACTAGGAAAGAGCTCGTCTAATTTAGACACTGAGAGAAAAAAAAATTCTTTTCCTGTTCCCAGCAATGGATGGACAAATTGTTCAGAGCCTATGAAAACTGAAACCTTCTAAATACTATGGTTTAGAGGGTGATAACAATGTATTTTTCCACAATCACAGAAAAAATTATCTGCTTAGTTACTCCGCAGGAGTCTTTGGTACATTTATCATGAATTCCAGGGAAGGAATTCAGTTGAGAATTAGGGTGAAGCTTGGGTAAAGACCAATGAGTTTATCTGTTTCTGCCAAGTAAAAAAATGTGTGATTTCTTTATGGGTATTTGGGGTATAAAATGTTGAGACTCAGCATTACTTGTCAGTCTCTATAAGCAGCCCTGGACATGGTTCTTAAAAGGACAGTTATCCCAAGTTGATATTGTCTAGAGCAATAGTTCTGAATGCCATAATATTAGAAAAACCTTCTTGTCAAACAAACATTTAGAAATGCTTCCTTTAGATTCTTGAAATAATATGTATAATTGATGTAACCTAAGTATAAACCTGTATGTATGTGTATGCAAACTATCCTAAGTCTAATGTAAATAGATGTAAAAGAAAAATAATTCACAATAGAAATAATGAAATAATTATAATATAGGTTGTGTTATAAAATAATTTGAATTTCAATACATAACTGCTGGATCACTTAGTGAGATATAAATAGTAAAATCGACACATGTAGAATCATCATTAATGTGCTGGTGACTCAAATATCAGGAGTCACGTTGATATTGGTGATATTTTCCTGATAAGTTCATCAAGTCTTGACAAAGTTCCAAAAAAAAAAACCACAATCTTTCCTTGGTTTTATTAAATTGTTATATAGGAGGACCTTGCAAAATATAAGTTTTCTTTGTCTGTAGAGCAGAGTAGATTTCAAACTGATGTAATTATAACAATATTTTCTAATGCACAAATATGCATTGGGAGTCTGGGTGTAGGGAATGGAACATTTTTCTTTGCATAGGGCTGTCCCTATGCATGCAGGATGTGTTCATACTTGTCTACTACATACTAAACATCCAGTAGTCCTCTTATCTTTGTGATAATAATAAATCCAACCACACACTTAAGAAATGCCCATCAATGATAGACTGGATAAAGAAAATGTGACACATATACACCATGGAATACTATGCATCCATAAAAAAGAATGAGTTCGTGTTCTTTGCAGGGACATGGATGAAGCTCGAAGCCATCCTTGTCAGTAAACTAACACAGGAACAGAAAACCAAACACCACATGTTCTCACTCATAAGTGGGAGCTGAACAATGAGAACACATGGACACAGGAAGGGGAATATCACATGCTGGGGCCTATTGGGGGCTGGAGGGCAAGAGGAGGGAGAGCACTAGAACAAATACCTAATGCATGCAGGGCTTAAAACCTAGATGATGGGTTGATAGGTGCAGAAAACCACCACGGCACACGTATTCCTAGGTAAGACAAATCCGCACGTTCTGCACGTTCTCAGAACTTAAAGTAAAATAAAGAAAAAAAGAAAAGAAAAAGAAAACCCAGCAGCTATGAGCACACACAAAGCACAAGTTTTGGTAGCTAAATACCATTTTTCCACTGAAGGGATCCCAGAACTCCTTAAACCTCCCAAGTTTTGGTCAAGGATTGCATAAGATGAGTCTGGGACATCTTGTGGCAGAAACTAAGAAAATATTCAAAGATTATAGGGACATGTTAAAACGACCCAGAGGCTAGTTTGAAGAAGTTTCCCATGGATGCATTTTAGACAATTTCATATTAAAAGTATAATTACCATAATGGAATAAAACATATTGAATATAAAATAAAAAAAGAAACACTCTTTAAAGGATGTTTTCATTTATTGAGACTCCACTCCTCCAAAACTTTGCATTTTACTTTGTGAAGCTTCATAGGCTTTTCTAGCAACTATGTAAAGAAATACAAAATAACTGGAAAATGTTCCTAAGTGATCAAATTACCTGTGGCAGTACGGCTCTCCATTTACTTTTTTTACTGGGTCACTGGGGTAAAGTGGAGATAGAAGCCCACAGGATAGAGCAAGGATTTTTGTTTCTTTTGCATGTTACATATCCCCACTGCCTAGAATAGTACCTGGCATATAATAGATATACAATAAATATTTATGGAATAAACAAATGGGTAACCCTGACTCAGAAGAGAAACAAGTCAAGAGAATTGATGTTCTGGGTGTCCTCTAATGATGTCATTATACCCTAAAACCACTACAGAATTGTTTGATATTCTACATGCATTTCCTGGCACCAGTAATCCCAGGTCATTTGTGTTTTTTGCAGACAAGTGCAGGGACAAAGAAATCAGTCCACAATATAGCCAGCCTAAACAAATATTTGTTTTCCCAAATGGCGTGTCTGTGAAGAAATTGTTTTTCATCTGAGCAACAGATTGCCTGTCATTATGTGTCATGACGTTTAGGAAGCATGCCTAAGAAATCAGAGCTGACTGCTCACACTAGAGACAGATGGGATATCCTCGAAAAAGCATTTGTCTTTCAACAACTGAAAAAGATTCAAGTTCTTCATCACTAGTCAACAATGTAAAGCCTCAATTTCTTCATATGTAAGATAGGGATAATTCATCTCTTCTTAGGGTTGTTGTAAAGGTGTTTACTCAAGTAAGGACTACATACAGTGACTAGCATGTCATAAACACTCAAGTAACAAATGGTTCTCAAATTCTTTGCACCTAAGACTGCCCTAGTATTTCTAACTTAGGAAGTTGCAGGCGAGCCCCCAGGAAACTGCAGGTGAGCCCTCAGGAAACTGCTTTCATTAAAGCAGCCCAAGTGCTTGTAATGTGGGTTGCCTGTTGGGGGGTCATGTTGAGAAACACTAAAATGAATATCAGTTGTATTTATAAAAGTTTCCAGAATCAAAATGAAGTTACTAGTGTTAAATAAAAACAAGTGACAAATATGGCTGGGCATGGTGATTCATGCTTTTAATCCTAGAAGTTTGGGAGGCTGAGTTGGGAGGGTCTCTGGAGCCCAGGAGTTCAAAAACAGTGTGGGCAACACAGTGGGACTATGTTTCTATAATACATACATACATACATACATAAAAATAATTTAAAAAGCGACAAAAAGAGCCAGAGAAGGCAATTATGAGAGGTTTCTCATGCTTGTATGCCTGATAAAACTATCACAAAGACTGCAAAAACCACACTCTTGCACAAAGATCATCACAACTTTACACAAAAAGAGTACTTCTGCAAGGACATCTGCCCAGAAACTGCCCGTCCAACTAGGCATTGACCAGGCCATGCACCGCCTGCCACTGCTGGGTGCTGGAGAATCTGGTAAAAGCACCATTGTGAAGCAGATGAGGATCCTACATGTTAATAGGTTTAATGGAGAGGGCGCTGAAGAGGACCCGCAGGCTGCAAGGAGCAACAGAGATGGAATATATTACCCCCAGATGATGGCTACAGTTGCTCATCTTCCCGGCTCTGTCCTATCACAATTCACATGCTGGAATTGCTCCGTGTTAGGAACTTCTAATAAGAACACTATTCTGTTGTCTGGAAGGGATGGGGGATGGGGCCCCTACTACCTGACCTTGAACTATGATTGAAAAAAATAACCAAAAATGGCCTGAAATACTTAATTGGTAAAAATGTAGTATGACAACTATCCAAAAAGGCATCTATATAAGAAATGACTAATTGACAACCTACGGTACCAAAAGTTGGCATTTGAGCAAAATATGGCAAGTCCTTAGTAAGCAACCTACTGTGTGAAACCCTTGAACCCTACTAATACCTGTCTGCATATCTCTCTGTGACTCTGTTCTGCAAGTAAATATAAGTATTAACATTTGTGATAAATAAAAATTCTCTGCATGTTTCAGCAAAACCAACAAACAACAAAACAACAACAACAAAACAGGCATCACCCTTGTCATCAATCTTTGTAGCCAAAGATTATTATTCCAAAATAATCACACAATTCTCATTTAAAAAAAAAAAATCTTTGTCTTCCATTACCTCCCCGAATATGCATATAGTTGACTGTGGCATTTGTATTCCCATGGCAACACTGTATTCTCAAATAAACCTATTTTTCTTTTAGATAGCCTCTCTGTGTTTGTTATTTAGGTTGACACATATGGTGTCAGAAATAGAACCTGAAAATGATAATGATCCAAAGAAACTGGTGATTCTTGAACTGATAGCGGTGCTCACTTGAGCCCTTTGTGCTTTCCTCCACTTCCTTGGCTCACCTTTCTGCCCTGATGAGTCTTCTCTTAGGCTGAGCCTGCCTCTTTTAGTATAGGCTTTTGTATATTAGTCAGGATCTGTTTTTTTTTTTTTTTATAAAGTCACCTAATAAGGGACTATACATCCCTCCTGGGGTGATAAAAGACTTCATCTTTTGTGGTAAATCTTTTCTGGTGTAAAGACATGTGTCTTTCTGGATTGAGTACTCGGTTTCTACAGAATTTGCATTCTATCTAGGAGGCATGTCTTTTGTAGAGAATTCACTTTTGGTCTCTGTGCCTAGTTTAATATTTTGTTTGATCTTTAT